TTGCATTTGGCTCTGTAAGTGGCTTACTTGTCTATCTATCCACACAAACTGATAGACATATTTACACTGAAAAAAATGTTATCTTGATATTTAAAATAGAAATGTAGAATTTATGAAAAGGTGTTATAAAAATGAGGCTTTTAATTTATACTTTTCTATAATATATTTTTTTCCTAATAGAAAACATTTCCTTATATATAATAAAAGAGAAGACTTTCAATTCTCATTATGATTATTCCTTAAAATATTTTTTCACTAAGTTTAATTATTAAATTATGACGCCAAACAAAAAGTTATATTCTTCTTATATCTAGAAATTATAACCAAAAAGCAGACAAATTTTCTAGTTTTCTGTGTCATTTTCATTTTAGCGTGTTTTTTTTCTGAGTGTTGCTGTGGTATTTCCGCATGCCTTAAATATGTCATGCAATTTGTTTTTATATCATTAGTTTTCTAGTTTTTAGAAATTTATTTCTTGTTAATAAAAAACATTTCTATAGACTAAAAAAGCCTCTCTAATTATGACAAATTTGTTTTCCTATATTTAAAAATTTATTAGCTCAAATTTGGTGTAGTTTTTTAGCGCAATTTAAAATTTTGCGCAATCTTCTTCAATTCAGTTTATTTTTTTTTAAGTGTACCGCTAATGTATTTCTTGTGGTATTTCTACATGCCTTAACGATATCAAGTTATTTATTTTCATAGCATTGGTATCCAAAGTATGTTGGGTTTTTTCTTTTTTCTTTATTCTATTCGTACACCTTTATCTTTAAGGCTTTGCGTAATTCCCGTTATCGAACACTTGAATAAAGTTTATTCAAGTGCGAGACAAAAATCGGCTACTTTTTTTAAGAAAGTCAGTTGGATAACATTAAATGGATTATGGAAAAATGCCAAAATATTCAAAGTTTTTAAATAAAACAAGAACTATGCAGACAAAATGTGCACTTGAATAAATATTTTTTATATTAAGTTTATTTTTCTTCTTCTGTAGAATATTATATATATATATATATATATATATATATATATATATATATATATATATATATATATATATATATATATATATATGCGAATTTTCGGTTTTTCTCCAACGATTTAATATAAATATTTTTTTTTTTTATATTCAACTTCTTTACAGAGTAGAATTGTCTTAAATCAAGTAAACATTCTTAATATTTGGTAATGATTCTTAACTCGTTGGAAGAATATTAAATATGTTTGGACTTTCTGCGTTTACCAACTTTTTAAATGTTAACTATTATTTTAAAATGTTTAACTTCTTTACAGAGCATAATTAATATAATCTTAATATTGAGACGTGCTTTAAAAATGTGTTAATAAATATTAATTTTTAAGGATGTTCAACATCTTAAATCCAGCGTATATTTTAAACATTAAGTTGTGTATTCTTTTTTGAATTAAGCGTATATTATTGATATTAAGTCATGCTCTTCTTTTTATTAGCTAAAGTAGTTAATATGTAATTTGTCTTTTCAGAATTTTTCAAACTATTTATATAATAACTATTTAGATAAATCATATTAATGAATTCCACTTTCTGTCTCTCAGTATATAAAGTTCAACGCAAGTTTCTATTATGGAGGCTAATTAACACCTGAATAAAGTTTGCTTAGTTGTTGTCATACGCCAAAATTTGAAATGCGTTAAATAAAGACCAACGATTTTCGGCTAAATGAAGTTAGTTCTTAATTGCAAAGTCTCAAAATGAGATGTGCCAAAATTCTGGTCTTGTTGGCCGCCATTTTGTATTCGCAACTGGAAGATGTTGCTGCCGTTACTTGTGATGTGGCCCCATCGGATCCTAACTGTATCAACTGCCTGCTCAATCCCACACACGTCGAATGCATTGCAACAACAACACCAGCAACAATAACAACAACAACAGCCAAAAGTTCTGCACATGAAACAACAACGGAAAAGGTTTCAACACGTCGTCGAGCTCAAAAAACAATTACCAAATTTCTACAACGTCTTAAAAAACGTCTGCAAGAATATATAAATAAATTTAATTCGTTCTAAAAAATTAAAATCAAGTCAAAAATTTAATTATAGTTTCTTTTTGTATATAATTTGTAATATGTCTATTCTTGATTCATATTTTGAGTTTCAGCAATTACTTAATTATATTTCCTTATAATTAAGAATGATAATGATCATTTCATTTCAATTTTTATTTTTTAATTTCAGCAATTACTTTATTACATTTCTTTATAATTGAGTACTTATCTAATCAACTTTCACAACACTAACAAAGTGCAACTCTATAAATATAGAGAGTGAGTGCGAACGAGAGAGAAGCATGGCTCATTGGGGAAAAAAGTGTTGAGCAAGCGCCAAATTCCAGCAGCCCAAAAAAAAAACAAGAGGAATACAAAAATACAAAACAAATAACAACATTGTTCACAGTGTGCTGGCGAGCGTGTGCGTTGAAAAGATAGAGAGGGAAAGAGATCGCGAATGGAATATTAATTAAAGTTTGCGCTTAGTTTGATTTCCAAGACAACAAGTGTTTTTGCGTTGTAAAAACAAGCGAACGACGCTCGAGAAACAAATAATAAAAAGTAAATACAAAAATTCCAAATACGAAATTAAACGCATTCCAGCCGAGAAGAGCACACTGGACTCTCACTGGAAGGCATGCAAAACGCGTAGCGAAATCCGAGAAAAGATCAGCAACAAGATTAAAAGCGCCGAAGGAGTAAATATGCAAGTGCGTGTGTGTGTGTGCGTGTGTGTGGGAGCAGTAAAAACAGTTGCGGTCAAAATATTAGTAGCGCTACTTCATGCAATGCAAATACTCTATACTTTCATAGCTCATTTAATTTTTTAAATTCTGAGCATCAATTTAAATTCTATAGCATAAATATATCATAATTCTTTCAATTTCTTGGACTATTTTAATCTTCGATATTCTAACAAAGTTTGGGCGAAAACATTCAAAATATTTTTAACTGATCGAGTTTTTTTTAAGAGTTTTTGATTAAAATACAATAATACTATACTATTCTCAAGAAAACCTTTACATCGAGTGTTCAAACTATCGGCCGCCGTCCCAAAGATTTTAAAGAAGTATCTAGAAGTCGAAGAACATAATCCATACTAACAAACCCAACAATACAACAAGTTTAAGCTCAAAAAAATAATTCAAGTGATTATGGAAAAAAATGTTCATAACTTTTTAACTATATTTGAACAATTTCAAAATATTCACAATTATTTGGACAGGCTGATTTGTGATAAATTTAAAGACTTTAATTTTTTCGTTCATAATTTTATAGCTATCCTCTCTTAAGAAGTCTTTACTACTATTGTATTACTATTATCATTGACCGACTTTCAATCTTAGTGAAGTATATGCTCGTATGCATTTATTTGTTATATATTTATTTTCATAATATTTTAACTATATTTAAAGTATTTTTTAAACGTACACCACAACACTATTACTATTTTGACCACAGCTGTATGTGTGTGTGTGTGAGGGAAGCATTACATAAATGACTGCACACACACACAAACACACACTGAGAAGAGCGCCCTCTTTTGCATTTCAGACACGCTTCTTGCATTTTTCGCCTTGATCGCTGATCGACAGTTTGACATTTTATGTCGTCGCCAACTGTCAAAGGATGGCGGTTATTTTTTTCTTATATTTATTTTTATTTCTATACATATTTTTATTGTTGTTGTTGTTGTGCATATTTGTTTATATAATTTTAGTACTTACTGTTGAAACGCTAGTTGCCAATGTCAACGATAGATGGCGCAGCAGCTGTTAACATACATGTGTATGTGTGTTTGTGTTGGAAAGACGTGTAAAAAAAAATTGGTATCACGAAGCGATTATTCGAAATTTTTCAAAAAAGAAAACAAAACAAAAAAAATATTGAGAAACGCGCTCATCACTTGCGGGCCGCCAAACAGTTCCACGGCAAAACGAAAATTAAATAGTCGCTCGGCTGACGATGCCCCAAAGCCCCCAACACAAAACACAAACACAAAAAGCAACAGCAACAAAAAAATAATAAAAAAAAATAAAAGCAGAGCAAAGGCAACAACAGAAAGTTTGGCGCGCTTTGTATTTTCGTTGTTTGTTTCTCTTCTTCTTCGCTTGAAGAGCGAAAGAGAAGCACACAGCGCGAAAGAGAATCGTGCTGTTGTTATTGTTGTGGAGTAGAAATCGGAAATTGAGCGTATTGCCAGACGCACTTAAAACGTTGCTGGAATAGTTGGAAAATCATGATTTACTGCCAGGTATTATTAAATGTAATAAAATAAAAAATTACATAATTGTTTTCTTTTGCCTGTAAGTAGTTTTTTGTATTATCTTCTACATATATTACCTGCTCCAGGACTTCCATGGCAATGGAAAGAGATCGGATTGGAAGCGTGTAAGGAAGACAAAAACTTATTAAAAAAAAAAAAAACAATTTTCAGCAAAAAATTTCCTCTTTGGCTTGTAATAATATAATTATAATAATAACAAAAATAATAATAATGATGATAATCATAATATTCATTAAAATAATATCAATAACACTGATAATAACAAAAAAAAAGCTTAACGGTCAAGTTTGAAGTTTGCATTGCGTTGATCAACACTGTAATTTGTACACAATTCCTTTGCAGCACTGCTTTGAGTTTTGAAGATGTCACAGTTACTTTACTTTTAATATGCCTTCATAAATATGTGATTTTGTGTAAGGCAACGATAAAATACCTGTAAACGACTGTAGAATTCAATTTATTGTTGCTTTTTATTATTAGATTTATTTCAATCTTTTGTTTTATAAAACTAAAATTAAAGTCATTTTCACTAGCCACATTAAAAAGTTAGTTTATTTTATATTAAATGTATTCCAGTGACAGGCTTTTTGCACGCTGTTATTTAACAGTCGAGAGAAATTATGAGCGCTGTGTGTGTGTGTGTGAGTGTTAACATATCTCACACGACACACAACATTGACGCACTGAAGGCGCAGCAACAGCTGTGACAAGGAAAAGAAAAGGAAAAAAGAGAGAAAAAAGCGAATGATTTTTGCTACGGAATTTCTTTGACAACGTATGGAAAACAATTTGCTGCAATAAAAAATAAAAACCAAAAGACGGCCGGTTTGCGTTTAAAATAATGACAACTGTGTAAAGTTGAAAGTAGCAAGAAGGTAATTATTTAATGGCCGGTGCGAGTGCTATGTGCTGTTAAATTAAAAACAAATTAAATTATATATGAAATGAGAATTTTTGGGCGTGATGTAATCGTGAGTGCCACGCCAGCGCCATCTATTGCCTAAACGTGCCACCCATTGCATATAAATTTATATTTGGAAAATAAATCTTTAACAGCCGGCTTGCGATTTGTTTATTATTTTGAACTTGAGGTTATGTGCAACAACAGTCTGGAAAATAAATAAAACAGAGACTTATTGTTTTAGGGTAATAATATTTTGGTCATTTTAACATTTGACAAGTGCAAACGTTGTGCGCGCGACACGTGCGCGAGAGAAAGACGGATAATGTGTGTGCTAGCTGGAAGCGTGCCCAGCGTTGCCAGGTCAATTGAAAGTGCAAAGTGATTGTAAAATAAAATTAATTAAAAGTGAACTGTTTGATAGAAAGAGTAGCCAAATGCGTTGTTAATAATTTTTTGTAATTACATTTTGTACTTATACGCTGAGAAATTAGTTTTTGATTGAGAAATGTAAATATCTGTTGTTGTTGATTATTGTGTCGACTGTCTGGCAACGCTGCGCTTCGCTCTCGTCTCTTTCGCTCTATCTCTTCCTCTCCCGCTGACAATTTTAAGCACAGAGCACATGTGCCTTCCAAGCCAATTGTTGCACTGCGCTAATTATTATTATTATTATTAGTAATTCCAATAATTGCAATAACAACACTTCCAGGTTAGTGTTGAGTTATGAACAATCCGAACTATGGCGGCATCCAGTGGATACAGCAGGAAAGCAGCGCCGTCGTCGACGACAGCGAATCAGAGATGACAGCAGCATATTTGGTCAACGCTGACGCCAATGGAAGCATTTCCAACGATGACGATCTCGATCATATGGCAGCCGAGAATCTCATCTTTATGGCACGCGACGGCCAACTGAGCGAAATCATCGCCGCCAATGAGGCAAATGGCGGCAGCAGCACAGTGCTAATCACGGAGAGCGATGGAAATACCGGTGTCGAGTACGCCGAGTCCTTTGAAGATGATGCCCAAGTCGTCACCGAGGAGATCATCACGGATGATTGGGTACAGCATCAGGGTGCAGAGAGGTAAGTGAGGGGAAGTAAAAAAAGAAATAAATTTAAATTTAATCAGTCGAGTAGTGACTGATAAAAAGATTAGATTAAAATTTAATAAGTAAAAGAAATAAACTTAAATTTGAACGCTCGAGTAAACTCTCAAATTTTAGAAATTTACTTTCCGAATAATAAAATAGGAAGCCTTGCGCCAAAACTAAGACGATTTACTAAAATTTAGACAACTTTTTAAAAGTGTAGTTGCTGCGAAAAAAATAAATAAATTGAAATATATTGAATAAAAAAAACAGTGTATACAAAAGGAATTTAAATTAAAAAAAAAACGTATAACTTTAATTAGAAACAAAGAAATACATTTAAAGTTAATCAAAAAATATAAACTTAAATTAAAACACTCGAATTATAAATTGCATATTTTATTTTGCAGAGTGGAAATTGCCGCTGAGCAAATCGCTGGCAACGGCAGCTCGCAGGAGCTATTGGACATGCAACAGAATGAGTATATGGCGATGCGTCCCTATCCCTGTGACTTTTGCAGTCGACGGTTTCGGAAGAAGGCCAGCCTCAACAATCATATGCTGGCGCATCAGAATGATCGTCCCCATCTCTGCAAGCTCTGCGGGGCGCGTTTCTCGCGTCGCGCGGAGCTCATCAGTCACTTCAAGGCGCATGCGGAGGCCCAGGTGGCCGCCGATGAAGAGGCAGCTGCGGCAGCCATCAAATTTGAGCCACAACAGCAGCTACAACAACAGCAGCAGCGACAAATTGAGGATAATTTCTATGAGCAGGAATGGCCGCTGTATCAGGATCAGGAACAGGAGCAGCAGCAGGTAGAGGATCAGCTGGAGCAGATCGAGGAGGAGCAGCAGCACCAGCAGCAGTTGGAACAGCATCAGCAGCTCTTGCAACAATTGGTGGCACCACCAACCGCTGCCCGGGGACGCACCAGTCGCTTAAAGCTCAAGGAGGAGAGTTCGCAATATATTGTGATTGGCTCCGATAAACCGGAGGCGGAGACGGAGACGGAGTTGCCTCAATACATGCATTGCGAGGCGAATTGCGATCAATCACTTGCCACCAACAACAACCAACTCCAATCAACATCCAACAATGATGTTGCAACTGCTGCTAATGATGGAGCACAGGGGCAGGGGCAGGGGCAGGCAACGCTGCGCTTTCCCGTGCTCGACGAGAGCAAACCCTTCGTCTGTCAGCAGTGCGGATTGGCCTTTGCCCGCGAGAAGGCGCTCGTCTCCCACATCAAGGTATGCCCTGGGAGGAATCTCAATTAGCAATAGCTATAATCTGCAAAAAAATATAAATTAAAATAGGAAAACATTTTTCTTGTTATTGAAAATAATTTCGAAGTTGAAGATAACATTTTTCTTGTTCTTAGAATTTATTATATTATTAGAATAATAAGTTGAGTTCTCCTTGGTGATTTACTCAAATTCGGTGCCATTTTGTAGCTAAGTGCAGTAATGGGTTAAAGTAGTGTAATGTATCTAGACATTAGATTAGATGAATCTACATCTAAAAATTACATTAATTTATATCTAAGCATAACTTTAATATCATTTAAATCCTTTGCAGAATCATCGCGTGGATTCGCCGTTTGAATGCAATCAGTGCCAGGAGATGTTCTGGGACAACTACAGTCTGCAGGAGCATCAGAAGACGCATCAGTTCGAGGAGAGCAACTCGGAATATGATCCGGCATCGGCGGGCGAGGAGGATACGGCGAGCGAATCGGAGGCGGACCAGCTTTACGGTAATTTCTACTGCGGTGAATGTGGCATCTCCTTTCACCGACAGGATTTGTTGCGGCGCCACAGCAAACAGCAGCACAGTAAGCATCTGCCTGCAACAACAGCTGGTAACAACAACAACAACAACAGTGTGGCAACTGCAACAGCAACGGATGCCGCTGCAGCTCCAAGTGATGCCGATGCTGATGATGCCAAAGATGCGCCACATTGTTGCCACACCTGCGGCAAATCATTTCTCAGCGTACTCAAACTGCTCGCCCATACCGAAATCCACAAACGCTTCCCGCCATTCAAGTGAGTGTCTCTCAATCGATCAGAAACTTTGATATATATATATAGATATATTTGTTATAGTCCATATAAGTCGAATTTGTTTTAAGATCCGAAATGACTCCCAAAAAATGTTGGTAATCAGTCACCAGCTTTCAACGAAGAAAGACAGAGGCGACAACGGAGCTGGGCAGAGACACCAGGACTCCGACAAGCCAAATGTCTTTTGGCTGGCTATCATAATCATAAACGATTTAAGCAAGTAATAACCATGGGAAAGAATGCAGGTTTTGTGAAAGCGAGGTAGAATCCTCAATGCACATCCTTGCAGAGTGTATCGACTTAACTAGGAAAAGATGCAGTATCCTAGGGATGCATGCTATGAGCACCAAAGACATAAGCCCTCAACCCAACAAATGTTCTTGCATTCGTACAGGATCTGGGGTTGATGGAGGAGCTATAGGCTCAGTAGGGGGGACAATAGATAGGTCGCTTTGCAGGCATCCAATAATAATAATAACAAGGTGAAAATTCCTTGGCGAATTTCTAAAATTTGCCACCTAATCTTCGCTATTATTATTTGATTTTTTTATTTTTAACTGCTGACTAATTGTTAACACTTGCAGATGTGTCCTGTGCGGTGTCAGTTTCTACGAGGAGCAGGCCATAAAGCGGCACCTGAATACGCGGCATCCGCATGAGCTGAAGCCCAATTCGTGTGTGTTGTGTGGCAAGGAGTGTCGAGATCGGAAGGCGCTGATCAAACATGCTTGGGATCATTCACGGGAGAAGTGCCACTCGTGTTCCAAGTGTGGCAAGAATTTCCACAACAAGGCGCGCCTGAAACGACACATGGCATCGCATCGCGACAAGTCCGTCGTGTGCGAAGTGTGCCACGAGGAGTTCCCAGATGGACGCACCTTGTCCAATCATCGGCATTCCCACAGCACAACGTCGCCGGGCAAACTGTTCCCCTGCCACGAGTGTGGCAAGACTTTTGGGTCGCGCAGCTCGCAACAGATTCATGTGCGCATCCATACGGGTGAAAGGCCCTACGGTTGTCGCTACTGCTGGAAGGCCTTCGCTGATGGTGGCACTCTCCGCAAACACGAACGCATCCACACGGGCGAGAAGCCCTATGCCTGCTCCGTCTGTCCGCGTGCCTTTAATCAGCGTGTCGTGTTGCGGGAACACATCCGGTCGCATCATTCCGGTCTGGATGCGGCACGTGGCACGTATCACTGCACGGTCTGCTCCGCAGATTTGAGCTCATCGAATGACCTCATCCAGCATCTCATCCAGCACAGTGATACAAACACAGCCAAACAGCGACAGCCAATTGTGAGTAGATCTTTACTTATAGATGGGGTGTATGGAGGTAATACAACCCAGTCCTAGTCATAGAGACGCAGAGGAAAAACTAAGAAATTCTCTGACGAAAAAAAAAGTTTTTAATTTCATTTACGGCTCGTAGAACAACTAATAAATTATGAAATTATTTCTTTTGAGTTAATCAGACAAAATCAGTTCCAATTTGGAGTACACCAAATTGTCCAGCTCTTTCTCTTCAAACTTGTAGTTCGAACTATCCATAACCCATGTCGGATCTTATGCTTAAATTATAATGCAGTAATTGTGCTACTTCTATTTCTTCTATTTATAATTTAGTGTTTTGCAACTTGCCCATCTTTGCTGACAGTGTATTATGACTAACAAAATTTTAATTAATATTCAAGATGTAAACTTAAATCTTTGACTTGAGTCCATCAACTAATTTTGAGGCACAAACCTAAACCGTATTTAAAGTATGCCTCTTTTTTTGTTACAGACCGGTCCACGTAAATATAAACGTCGCCGGAAACTGCAGCCGCATGAGATTGCACACATGCGCGCAGAGCACAAGGCTGGCGGTGGTGAAGGCGAGGAGGAGGATTATGGCAGCGACTTGGACTACTGCGATCTGGATGTAGAGAATGTGGATGAACTGTTGCAGGAGACAGCCGCAGAGCCACCACCACCAGCCACCAAAAAAGCGAAACGCAAACGCAAAGCGCCAAATAAAACCGGCGATGAGCAAAGATTGTGGGATGAGAAATTCATGCAGCAGGCGAGCAATGGGAACAGCGATGAGGCCTACAAGAGTTTCTTTCAAATGGACTCGCTGGTCGTGGTCAATGATCAAACGTTGCAGCCCGTTGATGCTGGTGTTGCCACGACCAAGTTGCAGCAGGCGGAGATTAAGGAGCAAAAACTCAAAACAGGCAGTCGCACCAGCAAAAGAAGGGCAGGCAAATCTGGGGGAGGAGCAGCAGGAGGAACAGCAGGAGTAGTAGAAACTGTTGCTGCTCCACGTCCCCGCATGATACACACAGCCAAGTCGCAGCAGACACCGCCAAGAAAATCCCGCACAAGGAGTTATGTCACACGCACCAGCATAAATGAGCAGCAGCAGCAACAGCATCAGCAGCAGCATCAGCAGCCAGGAGGAGGAGGAGCAAGCCTCATTAAATCGCGCATTGTGGATGACTACGAGATCATCTCACCGGCCACACAGCCACCCAATCAGATCAGCTCCAGTCCGTTGCACATCAAACAGGAGCAGGAACATCAACAGCATCATCAGCAACAGCAGCAGCAACAGCAACACCAACGAGTTCAACTGCTCTTCGATGACAGCCATCTGCTCATCGATGCGGGCCTGTTGCGCGAGAAGACCTATGAGAAATATAATCCGAGCATTGTCCAAGATCTCGAGGAGATATTGCGTAGTCCCCCCAAACATGAGCGAAACGATCGACGGCTGCGCTTCACCAGCGAATCGTCGACGACGCCACAATTTCTGCCCGGCGAGGAGGAGGAACATCATCTCATCAAGATCGAGCCAACGTCACCGGATCTACGCGAAATGGTCGAGAGCCAGCAGCCAGCCACACTGCCCACATCCTCCTCTGCCGCCTGCTCAACGGCGGCACGCACTTCCCGCCATCTGCGACAGCTGACTGCCAATGGTTCCAGTTCCATTTCCACTGCCACTTCCAGTTTCAGTTCCAGTGGCGCCGCCAGCACGCGAGCGGCTGCCAAGCGCAATGCCAGCAAGCAGCGTGCCAAGAAATCCACATCCAATAGCAGCAAAGCCAACTCATCATCGTCTTATCTCAGCTATGGCGTCGACTCCTATAATGTGGGCGTGGCAGCCAGTTCCAATGGCTCCTCGGATGTCACTTCCGGTTTCTTTTCCATTTCCGAGGTCGTCTCGGCAGCGGATGCAGCCGATGCAGCTGCGAAGGCGGCGGCGGCAGCAGCTAGCAAAACGGAGCGAAGAACGCGCTGCTTTGAGTGCGAAATGTGCTCGTCCAATTTTCCAGATCGCTCACAGCTGCTGGAACACATGCACATACACATCTAGATGTGGAGACTGAAAAGTGGAAAATGATTCATTTCTTGGAAATGGAGCGAGAGGAACTCGCTCGCGTGAAATGTGCCCTTCCAGCTGCTGGAATGAATGAATATACACATGTAGAAGTGAACTGGAAAGTGGAAAGGGAGATGTGATTGGAAGTATTTTTTAAATCTGTGCGAGAAATGTGCGCTTCCAATTTTCCAGACTACATACATCTAGTAGAGGCGGGGAAATGGAAAATGGAAAGGGTTATTTGTTATTGAAGTGCTCTTCCAATTTTCCAGATCGCACGTCGAAAAGAAACAGTCGAAAGGGGAAAGCTCCTGGAACTGGAAAGGGTCATTTGTTATTGGAAGTGCTTTTGCATATAGTTAAATCAGTGGAAAGTGAGAGATAGCTATTGGAAATGGAGCGAGATGAACTTACAGCTGCTGGAACATATACATGTAGATATCTAGTGGATCAGTGGAAAGCGGAAAGTGGGAATTTCTGATTGGAAGTACTTTTGCTATAAGTGTGAGTTGTGTGCTTCCAGTTTTCCAGGTATACATCTAGCAATGCAGAGGAAAGTAGAAATTTATTATTGGAACTGGTCACAAAGCACAGTAACAAATACCTTTCCATACTAAAAACTATGCTATAAAAATTATTGATAAAAAAAAACAGTTATAAATACTACTTGTATAAGTTTTGGCTTAAGTTGCTCGCCGTTTGGGGTAAATGTATTTTTTGAAATATTTACCTAACACGAATTTCAATTACAAATTGAAATAGCTGTTGCGGGACAAGTAAAATATCTATATAGTATATACACCTAATACATATGCTAATATAGAAATAACATCGAAAGATCGTTGATTAATGCGTTATTTAAATTGAATATATATATATAGAGAGATGCAGAAATAGAGAGAGGGAGAGAGCGAGAGGGGCAGAGCTTAGCTGTAAGGCTTTTTAAATTTGTACCTCAATTTTGTTTTTCCTTTTGAAGAATTTGATATGCTGAACTAAATAAATTCAAAATGATTTTTCTTTTTCATTAAATGTGAAGAGTTGCAACTTGAAATTCTTTGGCAAATGGGCTTTTCCAATTTTTCAGATTGCGTACAGCTAGAAATGGATTCTTTATTGGAAGTGCTTCGTGACTCCATACTAAAAATAAATGAAAACAGAAGAGAATTTCATATGCGCTAACCCAAATAAACTAAAAATATATATTTTTTATATCATTAAATGCGAAGAGTTGGAAATTTAAATTCTTTGACATCTCAGTTAAATGTGCGCTTTCAAAATTTCCAGCTGCTGGAATATATAGCAGAGCAGTGGAATGTGGAAAGTGGGAACTGCTCTGTCACTTCGTTCTAAAAACAATTCTAAAAATGAATGATAAACAAAATAAACTAAGAGAATTTGATATGCTGAACTAAATAATATCATAATGATTTTTTTATCATTAAATGCGCTGAGTTTGAAATTCCAAATTTTTCAGATTGCGCACAGCTGCTGGAACGCTGCTATCAGAAGGGGAAAGTGGAAAGGTTTTTGCTATTGGAAGTACTTTTTACTCCATACCAAAATTATATTAAAAATAAATTATAAAAATGTGAAATTTTGATTCACACTAAAAATGGATGATACAAAAAATAATTTGATGTGCGCTGAAGTAAATAAATTCATGATTTTTTTTACTTATTATTCCAACACTATAAATAATAATTATCTAACAGCAAACGATCTTGAAATTATCTACTGCAATCGTTATCGTTATCGTTAGTTGTTGCCATCATCTGCCAGTTGTCACTGTTTATTTTGATTTATATCAACAATAGCATTGCTTGTGAGTCATATATAAAAGCTTGCATATGGAAAGTTTATGTAGATATAGATATATATACATATAAATATAGCTACACGCATGCTCTCAGTGAGAACAAAGCTAAATATATACTTGTGCTCAATTCCTTTGTTTTTGTCGCACACAAAGTGATCTCACAATGGGGAGACAGACGATATTACAAGCTTCCAGTTCCAATGCCAATTCCAGTTCCAGTTGATCCCTCAACGTCGAGTGACCCAAGCAAAGTGATATTAAAATTCTTATTTTACGTCTCGCTCGCACTGCGCTAGTGAAATCAGTTTTGTTTATTTGTTATTTTGAGGTAAATTTGATTAGAATATTATTATGGCGGATCAGAACGAAGTTGTTTGCGGCGGCATTTCGCAGCTGACCGGCGACGCTTTCCAGCAGGCCTTGGAACTGTTGGAAACAACACTGGAAACTTTGGCCACTGGTGATGGACCCAGTTTTCGGTGAGTTTTTAATTTGATATTTAATTTAGCACATAAAAATATACACAGTATTCAGTGTGTTGCGTTTTTGTTTTTATTTAATATAGTAATACAAATGGACACAGTTTTCAGTGAGTTTTGTCTTCATTTGATTTTTAAATTTGATATTTAATTTAGTCATAAAAAATAGACACATAATTCAGCTGAGTTTTTAATTTGATAGTTAAAATAGTAATAAAAAATGTACACACTATTCGGTGTTTTGCCTTTGTTTTTAGCTAATATAGTAATAAAAATGAAACAAGTTTTCAGTGAGTTTTTAATTTGATATAGTAATAAAAATAGGCCCAACTGAACTGACAAGAAAATGTTTTGACACCCGCTGATTTAAGCCGATCCCACTAGAAAATAGCCCTTTTTTTGCGTTAAATTTTGTTTTAATAAAAAAAGTAATAAAGCAATATATATATATATATATACATATATATATATATATATATATATATATATATATATATATATATATATATATATATATATATATATATATATATTTTTTTTTTTTTTTTCTTTTTCTGTCCGCAGCGTTGTTAAAGTCCAATCGGCTACTGCACAGGTGGTTGCTGGCCAACTCTATCGCTACAAGGTGCAATTGTCGCAGGGACAAGCAGTCAAGGATAGTTCTGTAAAGATCTGGTCCCGGCCCTGGCTGAAGGAAAATGGCATTAGCATAACAATCCAATGCGAGGGCGATAACAACGTGATTGAAAGAACATTCTAAACAAATATAATCCACTCTCCGCGTGTTGACAGCACATTAGCATTTAATAACTTCATTTTTTGTTCAATTAATAATAAAGCGTTCTACACTCAAGAAAACTATTATTATTCAGAAAGTACATTTCTAAAAATCAGCGCTCTTCTTGTCTTCTATTTTCATGTATTCATTTCTGAATAATAAAACACACTGTTATTGTGAGTCTTTAGAAATTTATTTAATAATATTTAGAAATAATTAAAAAGCAAAAAAACACTTTTTAGTTTTGAGGGTAATTTTTTTCCAAGTGTACTCTCGTCTATAAATAGTCACATCTGTTGGCCAACCAAATCAGTTTAGCAAGAATAATGTACTACGTTCGTTTATTGTATCTTTTGACTCTGATTGCACCAAGTTGTGTGGCATTTACACCACCAGATAGTTACCCCATAATGAAATTAGAGGAGCTGACTGGCGAGGAGCGGGCAACAGCTCTTGAATTTTTGGATGCCACACTTGCTAAATTGGCCAACAGTTCAGCTTTTGCTACCAACTGTAAGTAGAGATTGTTAACTTAATATTTGCTTGTTTTTTTAATAAATATTTTGGTCAATTTAAGACTCGTTAACATCTCAGTGGTAATGGCCCAAATGGTGTCGGCCAAAAAAATGAGTTACCAATTGGAGTTGACTGAAAACAATGTCAGTAAACTGTGCAATGCGAGAATTTGGCATCAGACTTGGCTCAGTTCCGGTGGCATCGATTTTCAATTGCAATGCGAGAATGAAGGAATGAAGGTATATGTAATATATATAGAATATATGTAGAAAGCAGAGAAGGCAGAGAGAAAAACAAAAAGTAAATTTTTTTAAAATATATGAATGATGGAACAGAGAGAAAAAAGAGCTAAGTAGTTAGAGAGACATATAAATTATATATAAAATGTAATATATATATGTAACAATTTGCAACTAACATTTTTTCTTTAAATATTATTATTATATAATAAGTAAATAAACAAATATAATTTCAGACCATGCGTGTTTAAACTACATTAAAGATTGTTATATATATCTATATCTTTATCTATATCTCTTGTAGTATTGTTTATTTATTTTTTGGTTTAATTTAATCTAGCAGCGACTAACAAATTGAGGTATTTTCTATAAAAATGACTTCCTCCGCTTGGCTAAAGCCAATCACAGTCACAAAATGAATAATTTTAGATATTTGGTATCATTCTTATTGCTGCTGCTGGGCTGCATTGCATTCCTCGGAAGACGAGGAAGAGTTGAGCGGGGAAAGACGACGGGAAGCGATACGATTTTTTGATGAACGCTTTGCTCGGGTTTACGAAACAAATGCTGCTATCTCGAAGTAAGTTGCCCTCTCTGGGTTGATATGATTAAAATAATAAAATATGTAGTTTTATTTGACCTAGCATAATTAAAGTGATTGCCGCAAAAGTTGCCTTCGTTTCGGATGTTCTATTTGTTTACAATGGAAAATTAACGGATGTAATTCTAATTCGACAATGCGTTATCAGAATTTGGGAAAGTTTGTACACAAACATACAAATCAGTTGCCACGACTACGACGACGACAATGCTGTCCAAATCAACAACACTTCTTAAACAAACAAAGTCCGAACAAATACAAATACAGATACACACTCACATGCAAATGAACAGTTGTGAAAAAATAAATTAGAAGTTCAAATTTGAAGAATTGTCTTATTATTTTATTTCGTTAATTTTCTGTATTTATTTTTTCCTTCTTTTAATTTTAATTTTAAATAAATTTAATATGTTGGAAACGGTGAACAATATTATGTTTTTATCTTTCTCATATTTTTTTAATGAGTCTTTCTCCACTTCTAAAAACGTATTGAGAACTTTCTGAAACTGGCCTTTCTTCCTTCTTGTGAGAGTGGTGCTATTATTTTTTATTTCGGTTATTTCCTTCTTTTTCATAAAAGTTAATTAATGAATTTGTAATACTAATGTTAATTAAATTTAAATAAATTGAAAATGGTCAATGAAATTGTGCTTATTTTTTTCTTTTTCATTTTTCTTAAGGGAGTCTTCTTGCACTTCTAAAAACGATCCTGAAACTTACAAATTAAAAAAAAAAACACTCCTTTGAAAACATTTCTTGTTAGAGTAATGTTTTTTTGTTTCTTAATCTTCTTTCTTTTTCTTTTTTATTTTAATTTAATTTAAAAAAGTTGCAAACGGTGAATAAATTATGTTTTTATTCTACCTCACTTTTTTTAAGACTCTTCTTTCACCTCTTCAAACTTACAAATTTAAAAAATGAACGGCTCTGAAAATATTTTTGGGTTAGAGTGTTGCTATTATTTGTAGCGCAACTGTAGAAATCAGTTGTCACTGCCCAAATCAACAGCAATGCAGCTACATGTATATATATATAGATAGTAAAGTATATATATATATATACTTTACTATCAGTTTCGTTCTCCGAACAGCTGGCGGGGCTATAAAAGAGCTCGCACATCGCTAGAGAATTTAGTTGTTTGTCAGCGTTTGACTAAACGAGAATTCTACAAAATGAATAAATTCTTCTATTTGACACTGTTCGCTTTGGTGTGCTTGGCGGCAGCTGGAGTTGATCATGTTGTTGGCGGCCATCGGGAGCTGAGCGGCGAGGAATTGCAGCAGGCCATTGCGGAGTTAGACACAACGCTGGCCAAATTGGCAACCGGTGATGGACCCAGCTATAAGTAAGTCCTTACAAATTTTCATTTCCAATTTGCATAATTAGTAAACATAATCATTTTTCTGTAGAGCTAACAAGGTGACGAAGGTGACAACTCAAGTTGTGGCTGGTTCACTTGTAACCTACACCGTTGAGCTCTCCAAAGATGACGCCGTCAAACAGTGCACGGTGTCCCTCTGGACCCAGCCGTGGCTCGAGAAGGACGGCACCAATGTGAAGATTACCTGCGAGGGCGATGATACCAAGGTGGACACCACCTGGTAATCACAATTTATGTACAATTTCTTAATCTTACCCGTTTGCAATAAAATCTCTAAGCTCTAAGTGGGAATACCAGTTTTGCTTTAGATAACAAATGAATATTATTTCTAATGCTCTCTTAATAGTTGTTGTTGACTTAACTAATTTTGTATGCATATCTCAATTTCACAAATATCGTTTTTAGTTTTTTGCCTAATTAGTTGACGTCAGACAGCTGCGCAAAGCTCTTAAGTTCATAGTTAATTTAACTGCTAGATAAATAATTGATTTCAGCTCAAAGCCGGTTATAGGAATCGGAATTGAAATATATATAATAATCAGAAATTAAGTACAATATTTTTTTTAAGCCCCAATCACAGGAACTGTTATTACTTAGACGCCTTTGTTCAAGCTACGAACTTATATACCCATTTAGAGAAAAATATATACAAATACATTAATGAGTGATGGTAAGTTTTTGGTGTATAAAATGACAAAAAAAAACTAGACCAGAAATGTTTCTGGTAATTGTAGTGATAATGAAAACAAGCACGAAAAAAAAATAAAATAAATAAAAAAAAAAATGAAGTCATTAGCTCAAGGTAAACGAATAAAAGAAAAATTGTTATGCTTTACGTAGGAGAATCTACAGCTAGTTTAAATAAATTTTGGAAAGCTTCATTAGAGAGTGGCTATAATATCGTTGAGATTTGTTTAATTTATCAATATAGTTCAGCCATAAAAATGAGTTTTTTAATACATTTTGCAGACATTCGTTTGCCACTAACATGCTAATTTATGTTGGGAATGAGTTATCACTTATTAATATTATTATTAAATACAGTAAAATTGCAGTTAGAAATAATAATTGTAATTTGGTAATCAATAGACAAATTTATATATGTTCCGATTCCATTTCAGGTTTCATAATCTGATTTAAATGTAAATAAATATCAAGAAATCACAAAATATATTAAAAGTTCAAATTAAGTAATTTGCACAGCAGTTGCAGAGTTCAGATAAGTTTGACATAAGTCAGCACTTCTCGAAATTTTATATATTTTTATATATACATGATTTTATTGGAATGAATTAGCTGAGTGTGCTTCCCAGTCATAAACAATCATAACTCAAGCTTTTTCGGTTCCCCAAACAATCTTGTATTTGATTATTGTATATTTCTTAATAGCTAAAAAATGTAAATTTATGTTTATGTTTTTTGTTTATTTTTATAGGTAAGTAGCAATAAATACTTTGGCTATTTTAATACACTGAATTCATTAAGAACGGGTAAAAAGGGTATAACGATTTTTATGTCAAAGAATGTAAATGGTAGATTGAATATAGCCACTTCCGTCTGTCCGTCTGTATGGGCAAGCGGTCTAAGGGCCCTATAAGCGCTAGGGACTTTAAATTTAGAATAATAATTATCGAATACCCCGCGCAGAATTTGCTTTCTTCATTTTACCGATAACTGTCTCAGTTTAGCGAATATCGATTTGCGATAGCAATAAAAGCAATAATTCTAAAGTCGGAGCCTTCCAATTGATATAAAATAAAATATTATATTTTGATCAACAGCAATACTTTCATTCATATCGGATAAAAATACACAACTTATAGTTCAAAACCGTTTCTCATATTGATCTCATTACTCTCACCAGGCGCAGGTATTTTCTATATTCCAAGAAGAAAGAAAGAAATGCGAACAGACGAAAATATTGATATCAAAATGTAAATAAAAATAATGTAAATAAATTTGAAATTCTATGATGAAATTAATAAATGCGGTTAAAAAAAAAACATGTCATGATCAATTGATATCAAAATTTATGAAAAGGGTGTATATGATAATAATAAATTTTAAATGAGAGTATCTAAATTAATTTTTTTGATTTTAATATTTAAATTTATTGAAATAAAAAAAAATTATTTAATTATCAATATATATCAAAATATATGTACCCACAGTAAGGGTATATATGTGTATATGTTTGAATCCACTTGATGTCAAAGTATTAGTAACAAAGGCCTCACATCGAGCATATCTCGGAAAAATGCTCTCAGAGAAAGACTCTTGGAGTGCGACAAACATAAAAGGGCAATTACAGCGCTTGATTGTTCAGTTGATGGATAAGTTTTGAGCAAAAAAGATGGGCAATAAATTCTATTATTTGGCAGTGTTCGCAATCGTTTGCACTGTGGTGTTGGTGGCCAGTGAAGAAGAGCCTGCAAAGATTACACCTGGCGGCCATAGGGAATTGAGTGGCGTTGAACTGGAGCAAGCCATTGATAATTTACACACAACTCTCTATGAAATGGCAGCCGGCGATGGACCCAATTTCAGGTGAGATTTAAAACAAATTTCACTTGATTAAATATAAATTATATTATATTAAATATTATATAGGGCATCCAAAGTGACAAAGGTGACAACACAGGTAGTCGCTGGCACTCTTGTCACCTACATTGCTGAACTGACCAAGGAGAACACGGAGACCATCCATCAGCAATGCATTATTAAAATCTGGTCCCAGCCATGGCTCAAAGAGAACGCCACCAACATTCAAATTACCTGTGAGGGCGATGATGCCAAATTGGATCGCACCTGGTGAACTAGTTGATAATAATATGTCCATAGATCGGAAATAGTATAATAATTGTAGTAAAATATAATATTTTGAATAAATTCAATAATTAATCAAGTCATGTCTCACTTCAAGTTTTTTTTTGATTTATTTATTTATTTAATGCCGATCTAAATCACAATATATTTAATACAGATGAAAAAATTATTTAAATATGTATAAAAATAAAATGTTATATTTTAATTTTAAAAAATTAAGTAATATCTATAATTGATTAATAAAATCTTGATGTCCAAATGAATTTATTCAATAAATTCAACAATTTTTCAAGTCGTATCTCAAATCAAGATCGTTTTGATTTATTTATTTAATAACAAGAAAAAAAGGGGAAAAAATGATTTAAATATGTATATAAAATTATATATGTATTTATATTTAGAAAAATTAAGAAATGTTTATATGTGGTTAATAATATCTGTTAACCCAAAAGTAGACTAGAAGATTTTCATTTATTTTTTAAAGGGTTTTTTTTTCATTGTGTTAAAAATGCAAATTTCAATTGTTTTCTATTTGCAGCACGATCTCTTTTATGACATAGAGAAACAGACAAAAAAAAGCGCATTTGCCCCACACGCACACACACACACACACACATACACACATTCACGGCAATCGCCATTGTGAGCACTATAAATTTAACTGCTCCACAATCACTGCTGGAAGCGACCTGCCATTGTAAGGCAGTTAAGCCTTTTAATTGGCTTTCAGTGATTTATTTGTTCAGACAAGTCAATTTTGTGGGTAACTGAATAGAAGCTAGTATATACACCCCCTACTTATGGCCATTATTTCCCAATAAAACAAATTTCTTGTACATTTAAAATTGATAAAAAATACAAAAATTATAATAAAACTTAAAAAAAAACAAACATAAATCAACAAATAAAAAAGCAAGCGATAATTAATGTTTGCATATACATTTTTTAAAGTTCAAGGTAATTCTAAATCCAGCATTCAATACATTCCAAAATTAGGTGCTGATAACGAAACCTTTTTGATGTTAGCCTAAATTATTTTTTTAAACAATTATTTTTGTTTGTTTATTGGGTTGAACACTCTCTCGACCTCTCACTTATGAGATTTTTATTTATTAAATACAACTGTATATTTGTGCCAATTATGCTGCACTCGAAAAAATATTCGCACTGGATTGTAGAAATTTGTGCTTGCATTTCTACTTTTTAGAAATGCATTTCTTAATAATAGAAATTATTTCGAAAAAAATAAAAATCAGTCTAATTTTAAAAAATATTTTCTTATATTTAGAAATTATTTGGAAAAATAAGAAACATTTTTAGTTTTCTGTGAAATAAGTAAAATCATAATATTTTGGTATTGCCAGCATAATGCTTTCTAATTTTTAGAAAAATATTTTCTTATGTTTAGAAATTATTTCGAAAAACAAGCACAACTTTTTATTTTTCAGTAATGCTTTATAATCTTTGAATATGTTGTTCACTGATATAAAAATAATAATAGCTGATAACAGGTGCCAGAGAACCGGGTGGGCTTAAGTTTTAAAATTGTATGAGATATCTGGATGTGTCGAATTACTTAGTGGGCGAGATGACTTTTTTATTCATTTTTGTTCTGTCAAATTTTTCATCCAGTAATCTACACTCCAAGTTTGGTGACTCTATCTCTAAACTTATAGTAGATATGCGGATTTATCAATATACACTTTCAGATAAACCAATTCTTTGTATCGATACCCTAAAGCGCTACTCGATTATGCGCTTATCGATTTCAAATATCAATATACCAAGCTTCAAGTTTCTAGATTTAAAGGTTTCACTTATATGAACGGACTGACATATACTCTGAATATTTTCGGTAACAGAGTATAGAAATTTAAGTTGTCTTATTTCCTAAATAGGCATCAATACATTGTATTTTGTTTTTTATCTCAACCGGTACTAATCGAAAGTGTTCGTCAAACATGCACTTAATATCATTTAAAAATTGCAATAATAACATTAATTATAATTTATATCTACAAATTATATGCACACTTTCGCTTACTAATTTTTAAATACACACGTTTCATATCAGATTAGCAAATAATGGTCGGTACTTTACACACACATACACTCGAAAAAATATCTTTAATATTTTGAAAATCGACGAATGAAGCTCAGCTTTTTTTGCTCAAAAAGTATATTTTTTAATATCAACTTTTTTTGTTTCTATAATTGCACAGCACTGAATTCTTTCCATAGCTAACTTTTTTGTTACTTAAATTGTTTCGTTCTAGTAGAAAACACTTTTAAAGAAGATGACCCTTTCTAATTTTAACACATTTTTTTATTTATTATAACTATTGTTTCTTAAAATTGGAAAACATTTTTTAAAATATTTAGAACATCCGGATATTTAGAAGTTATCATTAGAATTTAGCCAGAAAATGTTTCTTCTCTTCAGGTAATTTTGAATTTAAGTGTGATCTATTAAGTTTCAGGGGCATTTCATTTTCTGAGTGTATGTATAAGTATAAAACAATTTGTTGTTTTGCAAGCTCTGATAATACTCGTATTTGTTGTTTGTCACCTTTGCTCGCACTTTGGCTTCGTTTAGTATGCTAATTCATAGTGTTAACTGCATATTTCGCTTGACGATGCATCTATGGCTATAAAAGCCGCTAAATATGGCTATTTAATATTCAGTCTAATTTCGTGTTTTGTATCGTATGGAAACAGTTTCTCAGAATGTTCTCACTGAAGCTTCTTTTTATTCTGGGCCTGGCCATGACAGCGGTTGACTCTCTTCGCGTTAGTAACGATTTGGAATTGATCAGGCTACAAGTAGAAGTTGTATTCAATTATTTTCTTAAATTGCTCAGATTCGAGGGAGACCAAAAGAACTCAGTGGCGATGAGCTGCAGAAGGCCGAGGACACCTTAAACATATCTCTTGCTAAATTGGCTGAAGGCGATGGCCCAAACTATCAGTGAGTTCTGATCGTTATTATGAAAATTCAAAGCATTTAATATATGTTTTTCTTGTAGACTGATTCAAATAATCTCGGCTAGCTATCAGCTTGTTGCGGGCAGTAAATATGTTTATGTGGCCGAACTCGCCGATGAGAGCAACTCGAAGGTGTGCAATGTGGAGATTTTGTCACGGCCCTGGCTTGAAGACGGCACCCGAGTCACTTTTGATTGTCCCGACGGTAAAATTGAGAAACAGCACAGTTCCTAAGCAATGCCAAATTGTCGTTCAACCAGAATTTGTCTGTATTTATTTGATTACTAATTAATTCAATTATAATCATAATTATTCAATACATTTTAGAAAAGTGTACCATGAAATTAAGAATAAGAATAAGAATAAGCGTATTTCTTGGAAATATGCTTTCTGAATAATAAGAAGATAACAAGAAATGTTATCAAAGGTGTCTTTAATTTGAATAATTAAAGATTAACAAAATGAGAATGAAGAAACGCATAGTTTCATTTACCATTTTAAACGTATTTAAATGTAATAAAAAAAAAGAAAACAATTAAGATACTTCTTATGAAAATCTTATTATGAAAATTATTACTGCTATTATTTTCTCGCTACTTTTTAACGCTTTCCCTTCAATTGAACAAAATCTATAAATTGAAAGGTATTTCAGTAGCTGCTAATTTAATAATAATATATTAAAAATCAAAATTTGAGAAAGTTGCAAATGTAATGGTTTGATTTTTTGATTCCTAAGATCAAATGTCGCAATGGTGTTCTTATTTTTTCCTCAAGTATATTAACTTGTTTTTCAATATATCCATATAGTTAAAAAAGAAAGAGCAAAAGAAAGTAACAAACAAAGTTCAAATGATTTTGCATAATAAACATTTATTGAATTTTCTAAAGAAAAGTGGGCATTATGTATGCCGATTTCGGAAAAGGTTATTTAACCGAAGAACTTGCTTGGGAAACCACCGCCGCCAGAAGACAGGCCCTTGATCTTTTTCAACAGTGTGTTTCTCTGGCGTCTGGCATCCCTCCGGCAGCGGTTGAGGCGGCGACGCAATTGTCGGATGCGACGCCGGAGACGCCGTCTTGCGGCTGCACCATTACCGCCCCCGGGTGGGCCGCCTGCGGGTGGGCCGCCTGCGGGTGGGCCGCCTGCGGGTGGGTCGCCGCCTGCGGGTGGGTCCCCGCCTGCGGGTGGGTCGCCGCCTGCAGGTGGGTCACCGCCTGCGGGTGGGGTTGCTGCAGTTGTTGTTGTTGTTGTTGTTGTTGTTGTTGTTGATGTCAAATCAATGCAACTTTGTTCTGCAACATTCGCTGCGTCTTCGCACTCCGTAGGAGTACAAACTGCAGCAGCACACGCTGCATCGCTGCGTCTAATACAGCAAATGGCCAATATGGCAAAACCGAAGAGAACCGTTTGAGACTTCATTATTATTCCACTTGGTTTCGAATGCTAAACTACTGTTCGACACTGTCTATTTATAGCGATTTCTTACCATTTTTTTTTGGGTATCTGTAGTATTGTATTTATTTTTTCATATTTCGGATTTCGACATATATGCTACAGTTACAGAATTGAGTACACACAAGTGTTATTCAAAATGTTTCATATGTTATCAGTTGTACCAACACTTGCTTACATTAACTTCGTTTCAGTGTCAGCAATATCCAAATATTTGAACTTCAAATACCGGAAAATTAAAAAAGAAAATGTATATATATAAATATATATATATATAAATATATATATATATATGAATATATATATATATATAAATAAGAAAAATAATTATATTAACTAAATATAATCATAAAACACATCGAGTCAACTATTTGGCAGCATGATTTTAGGAATTTTTAGTTATAAGAAATTGTAAGAATTATGGTAAAGATGCTGGTCTGTTTCCCAGCTTTTTTACGGTTTCCGGTTCAAGTTCTGTGCATATTAATTTCCTAAATCATTTTGTTGCACTACAAATACTTTCAGTTTTAATTGAGACCATTTAAAATATCAACAAAAACATCGAATTTCTCGTAAAAATCCAATTGTATGTGCGCAACTAAATAGTTTGTATATCAACTAACAGTTGTGCCTGATGCTGATTTTGATGTTGATCTTTGCCTATTCGCCCCGCTAGATGTCGCTCTGTCTTAGTCTATAATGGATTTCAGCCTAATGCACACGCTACATAAAAATTGAATGTATTTTAGATTTATATACCCTCATAATTAAAATCACCCTGAAATGTAGAAAAACGACTTAAAAAAGTCTTTCTGGTTTTTAGAAATAATTTATGAAAGTAAGAAAATGTGTTTCAAAAATTAGAAAGGCTTGTCCCAAATCGAAAATCCCCAATATGTAGTGTTGTTTCTTTTTTTAAAATAAAAACGTATAAATGAAAACCGGGTTCGTAGAAAAAATCTCTTAAAATTAAATCAAGAATTTAAAAAAAGCAGCTGATTTCCCTTTTTATATATTTTAAAAATACTTTCTCGTATTAAGAAATGTTTTTCTTAAAGCAGAAATGTAAACATGATTATTAGAAAAGCTCATTTCTGACATTCGGAAAATACTTATTAAATCTGATCTTTCAACTGCTAAATTAGAGTTTAACTGTTAATTTAGAGATCGAAAAGCAATTTTTAGAATTGTCTAAAATTTTTGTATATGTGAAAATCTTAAAATACATATGTCTAATAATAATATAAATTGCAAATAATTGTGGCTCCTAATGAATACATAATACGGATTTGCATATTATTGATAAACTGCCCAAATTTCATCAATATCGGCTGAGAAGCACCCAAGTTATAGAACAAACGATAAAGTGAATGCATGCTTGCATTTGGGTGCGCAAAACTTTTTAATATAGAAATTTGGCAATAAAACTAGCAAAATATATTTGAATTATTTATATCGTAGTCGAGCTCTCTCTCTCACAGCATGCCTACTTATTTTATAGGAAATAAAAACTGAATGTTGAAAGTTGAAATTTCGCCTTCTTGACTGAGCAAACTTCACGTCAAGTTGAAGGGCAACCAATGCGAAACTGCTTATTGCAAACAGTTCTTCAGAACAGCTGTACAAATATAGCAATTAGCTTTTTTAAGGTTAACAAAAAAAAAATGCAAATAAATGATTTTTGCTATTTTTCACTATAAAAAGCCAAATTATTTGGCCAAACGATATCAGAAACCTCAAGCAATCTCCTGCGAAAACAACCAAAAATAATAATAATAAAGAAAAAATACAAAACAAATAATGGCAATCCGAGCTTACAGCGCAATCAGTGTGAGCTGTGGTGTCGTCTTGTTGGCCACGTTGCTCCATGTGAGGACCGCCGATGCTGTGGCCTGTTCCGCAACCATCCTCACCAACTGCACTAACTGTACGGAAGCGGTGAATGCTAACCATGAGGACTGTGTCTCCACAACCTCAACGACAACGACAACGACAACCACAACGACAACGACAACGGAACGTTCCAGAGTTCGCGTTATACGCATAAGTAATTTGAGGTACACCGCTAGGCGTCGCATTCGTGTCAATGGTAATGGCGGAGCCGCATCTTCTACTGGCACAGGTGTCGGTACGGGTACCAGTACGGGTACGGGTACGGATACGTTTACAGGTGCAAGAAACAGAAGGAATAACAGGAACAGAAGGAATATCAGGAACAGAAGGAATATTAGGAACATGCGAAACGGCAGAAACGTTGGAAACTTGCAAAACGGCGTAAGTGTCATCAACCTGAGAAGCATGAGAAACGGCAGGAACAGGAGGAACGCCAGAAATGGAAGGAACGGCAGGAACATAAATCGCAATGTGCTTTTCGGTTAAATTATAAAATTCTTATATATACCTCAATAAATACACTCCGAATAAAATTGCCATACACTGTAGCAATTTGCCATATTTTTGGCCACCTTATTTAGAAAGAAAATTTCTAAACTTGGCTTTCTAAAAACCAGGGCTTACATTCCTTAATTTCATGTTGAATTTTTCTAAAATGTAGAAAAATATGTCAAACCAAGAGCTGTGCCTGATGCTGATTGTGATGCATATGTTGCCTATTTATCACATGCTGTTTTAGATCTTTGAACAATACCTATTCGCCTCACAAGATGTCGGTCTGTGTGATTAGCTTAAGATGGGATTTGAGCCTAATGCACATATAAAAATATATAAAAATTGAGTTTTGGTAAAGTGGACTGAAAATTAGAAAGTTATTTCCGTCTTTAGGAATAAGTTATAAAAATAAGAATACATTTTCGAAAAATTAGAAAGGTTTGCCCTGCATCCGCATTATTTTCTATTGATAAGAAGTACATTGCTCAAAACTGTAAATGCTAATCTTATCTGATATCGTGTGGCATTTTATAGTAAAAAATAGTAAAAATCATTTATTTGCATTTTTTTTTAATCTTAAAAAAGCTAATTGCTGTATTTGTATAGGTGTTCTGAAGAACTGTTTCCAATAGGCAGTTTCGCATTGGTTGTTATTTAACTTGACGCAAAGATTGCTCAGTCAACAAGGCAAAATTTCAACTTTTCAAAATACATTTTAAATAATCTTGATCTACTTTGGGTATTTAGTTATTTATGTATTTATTTAATGTCAAGTTAATTCAGTCGACACAAAGGAAAACACAAAAAGTAGATTAAATTTAATTAAAAATATAGTTTATATCAACCGACCGGAAAAAATAGATAGTAGTAGAATACATATATATATATATTCTTATCTTTATACATATATATATATAATTTTTGGGGTCGAATTTGCTGCCTTCTGCCTTTGGCATGCTTTTAAACAAAAACAATACACTCTTTTTACGTATTTGTAATGGATGTATGAAGAAAGATTTTTGTTTTATATTCATTTATGTATTCTAATTGAAGGATACTTAATTTTTCTCGAACTAGTTGTTGAAAAACATTACTTTATTATTTCTCATAGCGTAGCTGTTTTGAATTTCTTCTAAGTCGAACAATTTGGCAAATTTTATATTGATTGTCAAACAGATAAAAATATTCCATTAAAGTAAATCCTACTTTAGAAACTCAGTTAGTTCACCTTCAATGAGTTAATCACCCCAACAATTAAGAAAAAACACAAATGGCTCGAGTTAAGCACTTATCAACGTTTTGCAATACAGCCCAAAAACCTTGAACTTTAGAATTATAAAAAAAAATTAAAATTAAAAAAATTAAAATTAAATTAAAGATTTTTCTGTGAACAGTTTATGCTTAATTTACATATTGAACATAAATAAATTTTATTCAAAAGTTTATAAGTAATTTTCCGAGCTTTTCAAACATTCAAAAAACAAACAAAAAAAAAATGCATGGATATCTATTTTGAAGTTAATAAATAAACTCTTCCTTTACATTATTTTTACAATATTTGAGGTATTGAGAAGCACATCAAAAATGGCGATTATAAGATCCAAATTAGTTTTATAGTAAATGAAATTGATATTATCAGCGCCAGATATCTGTACAAGTTATCCAATCACCATAAGAAGAATCAATGGCAGATTTGCAGATGGAATTTAAATGTAAAGACAAGAAAAAAATAAATATATATATATATTCCTATTTACAAACTTCAAATACAATCAGTGCAATATTTATTCTTATTTTCTTATTTTCTTTAATTTAATTTGAAAGTTGTTCTCTTGGGGTTTGTGTAAAAATGGCTTTTAACAATACACAAAAATAGTGTAATAATTAAATTTCCAGCCAATTAACTTTGAAATTTAACGTGAGAGTTTTTAGTCAATGAGCTTTTGTATCTCCATAGTTTTAATTATAATGACGTCAACAGTATTTCCAGAGCGAGTCACAAGAAAACCACAATGCATAAAATTCATGCGATTCAGTTGGAGTTGGAGCCGATCTCTGAGCGGTTTAGCCATGGATTACACTCGAATAATCAGCTTTTACCTGATTTGCATGGAATTTGTGCCGACAACGGTGAGTAAATCAAATAAATATATATAATATATATACAGTTGTGAAAAAATAATAGCACCACACTCACAAACAATGGTAACTTTTTAAAACATGTTAGTTTAACGAATATTTGATGTCAACTAATATGTAATTATGAAAATTATAAATTAATAAACGGTTTCTATAAGCAATATATAAAATATCAACATTTTAAAAATTGGTAAGACTATCGAAGTGGTTCTATTATTTTTTTTCGCAACTGTATATTAATACAATATATATAAATATATATATATATATATGTGCACATAAATACTTCGGTAATTAATATAAATCATTTAATTGTGCAGTTATCGATTTGTATACCGCCCAACCACTGTATTGAGGACGTAAGTAGGCAGTAGGGTAATTTCGTACACTCAGCAAAATAATCGCTCTAAAAAATAGAAAGTTCTTCTTCTTCTTTATGTTAAATCGTTAAAATACTAATATTTAATAATAATATAAATAACAAAAAGCTAATATAAGAATTATTCTATGGTATACACATAGAAAAAGAAACACTACAAATGAAACATATATTTTCTATATTTTAGAAAATTTCAAACTGAAATTTAAAAATGTCAAATTCTGTTTTTTAGAAAGCCACAAATATGAATTTTAGAAATTGAAATAATAATTTTATTTCCAAAATCATGGCCATTTACTAAAGTTTATGGTGAGTTTTTTGCTGAGTGTAGTCGTTGTCTAGTTGAAGTTTTTCCCCAGATGGAATATAGCGATGTGAAGGAACGTTACGCCTATGTTCTGTCCAAATACGCTGAGCTGGATATGAAAATTAACGGTGAACCTCTTGGGTAAGTGTAAAAAAAAGGGAGCTATGTACCTAGTAGGCAAGGCAATTGATAAGATTCGTTCAAATTAATTGCAAATCGATAAAGCCACATATCGGCTACAATTTTTAGGCTACTATCACCAAAATTGATTGGTAGGTTGTTGACAATGTCCTTCAAAGATGGGCATTTGTCACCCAAGGCACCTGCTCCTAAACATTTTAAATGGCTTTTGGGTTAGAGCCATCAAATGTGGTAGGTATATTACTGGTAACCGCCTTTAAGTATCGAAACCGACTTACAAACCGATACACCTGTTAGTGTAAATCGATAGAACCATATATATCACATAAAATTCAGACTTGGTGGATACCAACTACCAACTGGCATTAGTTATTGCCATCTAGTGTATTGCGCAGTCGGTTACGCTCGACTGCAACATGCTCTCACTTGTTTCTCCTGTTTCTTTTTTTTTTTTTTGCTGGAGTTCAGATTGCGGGGCAAACTTGTCACGCATGGCAACACCGAGGAGCAGCACATTGTCTTCCAGCTGTTGGACAATACACCGCACGATGTCATCCAGAGCTGCGTGTTTATTGTGACCACCGCCACAAGTGCAGCCAATGGGTGCGAGTCTATTGTGACCGTGTGCAATACATTTTTGGGTCGAACGCCGCGTCCACTGCTGGAGCGGAAGCCGTTGACTGTCTGCCAGGATGGTGTGGTGCGTGAGGCGGAAGTGGAAGAGGAAGAGGAAGTCGTACCCGGACCGGATGCAAACAAGGACTCTGAGCAGGTGGCCAAGGAGGAGTTGGCTACTTCATCGCCGGATATTGTTGCGACCAGCGACAGTGAGCTCATCTAGTCGACTGATTAGAGTTTCAAGCTAAACTAATATTTTATTCATTACTGGAAAGCTTGCAAAAAGCAAGCCCAAAATTATGCTACAACATTTCAGAAGTTTAATAATTTTCATGGACCTTAAATTATATTATAGCTTTGTTGATATACCAAATAGTTTCTTATTAAAACTCTTATTAATTTGAAACATAACTTTTAACAATTTAAAACACATTTTTCTAAGCCGCTCTTAATTTGTCTTAAGCTGCTCTTAAGTAAGAGCAACCAAACAAGCGCCTTGTAGCTCAAGAAATGGTGAGCAACAAAAAAAATGTATAGCGCCTGCGCTGTTCACACTTGCAAAAAGAGAGATAGAGAGAGAGAAAGAGAGAGAGAGAGAGAGAGAGCAGCGCACAGTGGATTGAAATATATTGAAATGTCGTGCTAATATGAATGAAAGATTTGAGAGGAAAGCCAAATCCACACAAGTAAAGAACGATCACTGAATCCTCATTTATTTTATATACATATATTTGCTGCTTAAATCTTAAGCATAAAATAAGAACGTAAGCAAGAATTCTGATTTAAAAATATTTAGAAGCGAAAAATTACTTTAAGCATCATTCATCTAATTACACCAAAAGAAATAAAATAAAATACTTCAAATTAGATAAGCAAAATCGTAATTTTCTTAGTTGCATGTCTGCAGAAAACATTAGTAAATTTTATTATTATTATAATTGATTGTCAGCAGACATTATATTAATAAATTTTAAAAACTCTTTTAAATAAAATACATACAAACAGTTAAGTATATTCGTTATATTCTTAATTGTATTTCTGCAGAAAATATTAATATATAAATATATGTTTTAAAAAGTATATTATAGTAAATAAACAAAATTCATAAAATTAGTTAGTCAATCTCGTAATTTTCTCAATTGTATATTTGCAAAATATATTAATTACTTTGGCAACACTGTTGCCGCCGTTATTGTCACCTGGAAGGAGAGTGAGATCGAACGCCTGCCCCTAAGAGAGAGAGAGAAAGACGCAGCTGGAGGAGCAAAATTGGAGCAGCACCAGCCTGTGCCAAATAACAGTAAACAAAGCACATGCTATGGCAACGCTAGCGTCAAAGCTGCTGCTGCTGATTCTGCTGCCAGCTACGCAGTTGCCATATCAGTTGATGTCTGGCGCCAGAGCGAACTGGAGCAACGCAGTAGCAGCAGCGATGAAGAGAGCGGCAGAGCACAAGCTGCACAGCCAGCAGTGAGTGGGAGCGAGAGCGAGCTATCGAGAGAGATAGAGAGAAAGAGAGAGCTCTTGCATATCGTACGCACCAGCAGTGTAAGGGAGTGAGACTGATGATATTTTGGTTACGTTTTGTAATTTAGCTAAAAGACCCGCACAGAATTTTTTTTATTTGTTCTCTCTCTGTGTTGGCAGTGCTCAGTGCTCAACTTGTCGTCGTGCTGTGCGAAACACGTCTAACGGAAACTCGAACAGAGCTTAGTGTCCACCGCCCACTTTATCTCCCCCGCTCGGGACAGCAAAAGCTGCGAAATTTGCCGCCGCCGGTTGTAAAACCGAAGAGCAAACAACTTTTTGCATAATATGTATGGCAAAGATAAATACAAAAATAAATTTAATCAACAGATCTTAGTGTTGTCAAAAAATATTAAAAATAAAAATAAATAAAAACAACAACAAAAATTCATTTGTTTATAATTGTCGCTTTTTTTATTATCTAATTCTAATTTCCACTTAACCGCAATCATTGCCAGACTGTTATCACAACAACAACGACAACAACAACAGAGGCGCGAATAATAACAACAAGAGGGAGACACAAAAATACTGCATTTCTCTATGTATGTGTGTGCGTGTGTATTTTGTTATTATAGGTGAGTAGCTTTTGAGTGCATACGTGTGCGTGTATGTGTGTGTATGTGTATGTGTAAGTGTTTGCTCTCCAGCTAAGCTCAGCTCAGCTGTAGCTAAAGCAAAACAAACACAAAACAAATGTTGAAAGAACAGTTGTCTCGAAATTGAAATACCCTTTACAGAGAACTCATTGGATTCCCACACCGAATTTAAGCCCGCAGGAATTATTGAACTAATGTACACGCACTCATTTCTCTTTTACAATTTATTTCATTATTTTACATATATTATTATTTATCTCAATTGTCGGGTGTCTTCACGTTCCTCACGGTCTTTTGAGTTGAGCTTATGTTAATTACAGTTTTTATCGATTACTCGGAATGTACTTTTAGGTTAAGCTTATGTTAATTATAGCTATCGATCTCTGTTATCTATCTCTCTGTAGCACGAGATGCAACCGTGTATGTTATATATTGCATTGTGTTAATTTCAGGTTAGTGTTCTTAGAAAAAACATTTAACTCGTAATTTGCGGTATCATATCATATAAGAGATTCGATTCGTCCGATTCTGACAATTGTCAGTAATAATATAATTTTGCTGCACTCAGGTTATTTAAGTTAATTAAATAATTCTATAATAAGGATAAGTTTATTCCTTTTTAAAAAAGGTTGAAGACTTCCAATATAACCAATTTTTTTGAGTCTTTACGAATTTAAATACACCAAAAAACATTAGTTTAAATTACATAAAAGTAACATGATCGTCATGACGAGCCTGTCTGTTTATCGATCTGTGTGTGTTTATGTATATATATATGTATGTATATATATCTTTATTCAAAATGTGTTCAACTAATTCATGCTAACAATTTTTTTTCTAATTGGATATTTGTGGTTCTTCCACAACACAAATCCAAATAAAAATAAATAAATTAATTAATAAGTAATTCAATAGATAAATGAATAAAAGACATTTGCTTCAAAATAGTATAACATATCATAAATTAATAATAGTAAAGCAGTATACCTTAAGGGCAAGTAAATAATTAAATAAATCAATATAAGACATCTGCTTCAAAATAATAATATATTCACGTCTTTCAGGGTATAAATACAAATTCATACACTCACAAATTAGTAGAGCATATAAAAAAAAAAAACAAAAACACCCGCACAACAAAATTGACAATATTTGTACCCTCGAATGCAAATGTTGTGCGTTAATGGGTGTGTGGATGGTCTCCAGGGAGGCCCTGAGGGGCTCTTGCCTAAAAGCACTTTACTTTTGAGCAGTTTTTTGTTGCCTTAAATTTCATAAAAATAAATAAAAAGTAAACCACTTTTTTTTTGTCTCTCGTTTTTTTTTGTTTTCTTTCATCTCACGTGTAACGCAAAATACTTTAAAAATTGCTTTTCACGCAGCGTTTTCTTTTTGGGTATTTTTCTCGCTCGCGCGCGCAATTTTCTTGTTGCCCTTTTGGAGACACGCCAAACAACAGTTTTCACCTCCCCCAAGCCCCCGTCCACCCCTTAATCTTCCCCGTCCGTCCGTCGCGTTTGGCAAATCCATTAAGTTTTTTGTTTTCATTTCTTTATGCGTTTCTGTCAACGTTTTGCTTGAAACTCATCTGTCTGGGTTTAATACTAGAATACTATATCTCTTGGCTTATTCACAGTTCGTTTTAACTTTATTTTCGCAGCATTTTTCAATAAAGTCGGGGAAATCGTTTATCCATTAATGTTTTATTTGCATTTATCTGTTATTGTGTTATTAAAATGGAAATTGTAATGAGGGCAGCTTAAATTGGGTTTTATTTGCAGAACTTTGAAAGTTATTAAGAGAATGTGCCTGGATTTAATATTTCTTCTCTTTGAGATCGAAAAAATATAGTTTAATAATTATTAAGTTTGTAGAAATGTGTAAATTAAAATTAATATTTTATATTCAAAAACACGAGTAAAGAAATAAATAATATTAACTAATAATAATAATATATTTGAGATTATATTCTTGCTTCAAGTACAACACTTAAAAAATTGCTTGCCTAGATCTATTTTAAAATGAAAAAATCAATAAATAAATCAATTAACTTCTTATTTCTTCTTAATATTGTTAATTTTAGTTTTTCCATTTTTTATTAAAAAAAATTATTCAAACATATTCATAAGTAATTTTTTATGCATTTTTTTGTTACACATTGTTAAACTTTCTAAGGGCAAAAATATTACACATATTCTTGATATGAAATAGCCATTATTTCTTATTGATATTAAATAAAAGTGCTTGCAATATCCAAAACCAAACATTTATAGCAAATTTAAACGCTTCTGTGCACATTTTTATGTTATAGCTATTTTTTCACACACTGTGTGAATTGATTTGATCAAATCGTTTAGATTTTTAGTGACTCAACTGCAATAATTCAACAAAAAAAAAACAAAAAAACTCAACCAAACGCATATGTCCTTACGATTTTGAACTATCCCTGTTTGGGTTCAAGCTTATACACGTCGCTAAGTGTATTAGCACTTAAAAGTGATTTCAGCTATTGAGGTGTACCCTTCTTACACTGAGAAAAAAATGAACAGGAATTTTAGAAAATCGTTTTGGTTTAAATGGAAGACTAACTTACATATTATTAAAAAAAATATATATTTCAAACGTGTGTTTTTAAACCAAGGTTTTGAGAGAAAAAATGTCAAATTTCCAAGGTTTGTTTTCACAGAATTTTTACATTAAGTTTTGTGTTGTATTGCTATTTTTAGATTACATATATATTTTCTCGTAGATATATCGGAACTCTCGGATATCCAACCTACGAAACTTCACCCAATCCAATCATACTTAGTTGAAGGGGTAATATAGCTGCAAGGGATTCGAAGGAACAAATTTTTTTAAATTTATATTTAATAGATTTATTTTAATTTATTCATCATATTTAATTTAAGATATCAGTTTTTCTTTTTAAACTTGTCTATTTTGTAACGTTAATTGTAGACTTAATTTCTTCTAATTTTATATTTTTCATTTCTTGGTGCCATTTTTTTCATAGTGTAACTAACTGAAGTTTTTGCCACTTTTCAATTTGTGTTCGGGTCGCGCCTTTGTGCAGTGCTTAAATAGTCCTCGTCGATTCCTTTTTTACGCATTTTTGCTATTCTCTTTTGTAACTACAATTCATGGTGCCTCCTCCTGCTACCCCAATCTTATAAATGTTGCTATTCCTATTCCATGATTGAGAGAGCAACGAATACAGAGGAAAAGAACGGACGTTCATTGGCTTTTTGTGGGGTTTACAGTCGGATATTTGGT